TTAGCCAGGCTGGTCTCGATCTCCTGACCTTGTGATCCGCCCGTCTCGGCCTCCCAAAGTGCTGGGATTACAGGCTTGAGCCACCGCGCCCGGCCAAAATTGTGCATTTTACTGTATGTAAAGTATACGTCAATAAAAATTTCATTAGAAGAAAAAAGATGAAGATTTTGAAATCAAAATGATTTGGGTTCAAATCATAGCTCTGTCCCTTAATATAGCTATGTGAGTTTGGGTCTTCTTTCGTACATTTGATATGTATTGAGTACCTCCTAGGTTTACCATGCTAGACACAAAGGACACAGCAGTTAACAAGAAAGTGATGGTCCGTGCTTTCACAGAGCTTCAACCAAGCCACGGGTACCTGTCTTGAGAATAGTGATACTAACACTTTCCTCATGAGGTAATTGTGAGGATTAAGTGAAATCATGCATGTGAAGTTCCTGGAATATAGTTGATGCTCAAAAACAAACAAGCCCAAACATCTTATTTTTTTATTTTTTTGAGACAGAGTCTTGCTCTGTCGCCCAGGCTGGAGTGCAGTGGCATGATCTTGGCTCACTGCACACTCCGCCTCCCGGGTTCACGCCATTCTCCTGCCTCAGCCTCCTGAGTAGCTGGGACTACAAGTGCCCACCACCGCGCCAGGCTAATTTTTTGTATTTTTAGTAGAGATGGGGTTTCACCGTGTTAGCTAGGATGGTCTCCATCTCCTGACCTTGTAATCCGCCCACCGCGGCCTCCCAAAGTGCTGGGATTACAGGTGTCAGCCCACCGTGCCCAGCCTCCAATCATCTTATAGAGTGTGAGGAACCTGATGTTTAGGTTAAGTGACTTATCTAAAGCCATACATTTGCTAAGAAGTCAAGTGGAAACTAGAACTCAGAACCCAAGTCTTCATTCAAAGTCCTATATTTTTTCAATTACAACCACATTTTCCTGTTACATCTTTCATTTGTATGAAAGGAAAACACTTTACATCCTGTGCACTATGGCTAATGTTTATAAAGATCCCTGAGTGACACTGAGGTATTGTCAGATTTAATAAATGCAAGTAAAATAAACTAAACATTTTGGGCCGGATATGGTGCCTTATTCATATAATTCCAGCACTTTGGGAGGCCAAGGCAGGAGAACTGGTTAAGCCCAGGAGTTTGAGGCCAGCCTGAGCAACACAGAGGGACCCCTGGCTCTACAAAACATAAAAAAACTAGCCGGATGTGGTGGCATGCACCTGTAGTCCCAGCTACTCAGAAGGCTGAGGTGGGAGGATTGCTTGAGCCTGGGAGGTTGGGGCTGCAGTGAGCCATGATCGCGCAACTGCACTGCAGCCTGAGTGACAGAGTGAGAACCTGTCTCAAAATAAATAAATAAACAAAAATTACGTTTTTAAAAAAGTATGCCCCATGCAATATTTTGGACATATTTATACTAAAAAATTATTTATTGATTTTCTAAAATTAAAATTTAACTGGATGTCCTGTATTTTTATCTGGCAACTGTACACTGAAAGAATCATTGAATTTTAAATAGATGTTTCTTCATTAGAAGCGATCTTAGTTTCTAACAGATTCAGGTTAAGAAAAAGACTGAAAAACATTTAGAGGTTGAGGTGCTTGTTTCTTTTCTTTTTTTTAATTTTTGAGACAGGGTCTCCCTCTGTCACCCAGGCTGGAGTGCAATGACATGATCAGGGCTCACTGCGGCCTCAACCTCCTGAGCACAGGTGATTCTCCCATCTCAGCCTTCTGAGCAGCTGGGACCACAGGCACACACCACTAGGCCTGGCTAATTTTTGTATTTTTTGTAGAGATGTGGTTTCATCATGTTGCCTAGGCTGGTCTCACACTCCTGGGCTCAAGTAAGCCTGCTTCCTTGGCCTCCCAACATGTTGGGATTACAGTTGTGAGCCACTGTACCTGGTCTGGTATCTCTTAATTTAAGTTTTTAATTATTATTTTTCTGGTTACATATACAGGGACAGAGATTCTGTGACCCAACTTCATCTTGCCATCTTTACCCAGAACTTTCACATTACCTCATTTACACAGAAACCCTGTGTGATGAATGCTAAATGATTTAAACTTTAAACATTCCTTAACATTTCAAACATACATCACATACATACCTTTCTACTCACCACTGTGATTAAACAAATGTAAACGCTTTTGCTAACGTGCTTTAGAAATGAAGTGATATAAAAGCTGGCTGGACGCAGTGGCTCACACCTGTAATCCCAGCACTTTGGGAGGCCAAGGCAGGTGGATCACCTGAGATCAGGAGTTCGAGACCAGCCTGGCCAAAATGGTGAAACCCTGTCTCTACTAAAAATACAAAAATTAGCCTGGCATGGTGGCGTCTGCCTGTAATCCCAGCTACTCAGGAGGCTGAGGTAGGAGAATTGCTTGAACCTGGGAGGTGGAGGTTGCAGTGAGCCGAGATTGCACCATTGCACTCCAGCCTGGGCAACAACAGAAAAACTCTGTCTCAAACAAACAAACAAAAAACAGCTAAGACCCTTCTATCACCCTCATCTCCCTCCAGGTAATCACTCCCCTGAAATACATTCCCATGTATATTTTGTACTTTTAATTTAATTTAATTTTTAACAGACAGAGTCTCACTCTGTTGCTCAGGCGGGAGTTCAGTGGTGCTCTTGCTTACTGCGGCAGCCTCCCTAGCCGCCCAAGTAGCTAGGACTACAGGTACACACCACCATGTCTGGCTAATTTTAAAAATTGTTTTTTTGTAGAGACAGGGTCTTGCTATGTTACCCAGGCTGGCCTCAAACTCCTGGCCACAAGGGATCCTCTCACCTTGACTTCCCAAAGCACTGGAATTACAGGCATGAGCCCAGTTATAGAGTGCCCAGCCTATATTTTGTACTTTTATCATAAAAGATATATCCATAAACTGTATAGTGTTGTTTAATAGTGTTTAGGCACAGTTTATATATCCTCTTATGACTTTTTTTAAAAACTGTACTAGGTTTTTAAGATTTAAGTGTGTTGAAACATGTAACTAGTTTACTGGTTCTTAAAGCGTAGTCCCTGGACCAGCAGCATCAGCAACACCTGATAATTTGTTAGAAATGCAAATTTCCACTGAATGAATCAGAAACTCTAGGGGTAGGACCCAGTCATATGTCCTTTACCAAGCCCTTCTGATGATTTCGATATACCCTGAAGTTTGAGAACTACTGCTCTACTGTATTTATTTTATTTGTTGTCTAGTATTGTGTTGTATGAATCAGCCACAGTTTATGTATCTGTACTAAGGAAGTTAGGTTTTTGTTTTGTTTTGATTTTTGTTATTGTTGTTGTTTTTGAGACGGAGTTTCGCTCTGTTGCCCAGGCTGGAATACAGTGGCGCGATCTCAGGTCACTGCAATCTGTGCCTCCTGGGTTTAAGTGATTCTCCCGCCTCAGCCTCTTGAGTAGCTGGGATTACAGGCGCCTGCCACCACGCCAAGCTAATTTTTCTATTTTTAATGGAGATGGGGGTTTCACCATGTTGGCCAGGCTGGTCTCGAGCTCCTGACCTCAAGTGAGCCACCTGCCTTGGCCTCCCAAAGTGCTAGGGTTACAGGTGTGAGCCACCACGCCCGGCCCTGCTTCTTTTTACAAATGGTGCTGCGTTGAACCTGCTAGTGCATATCTCCTTGGGTACCCATTTCAGAGCTTTCCAGGATACTCATTTAGGAGTGGAATTGCTATCTTTGTAGTAGATCACATTTTAAACTTTACAAGATTTAGCAAGATTACTCGCCAAAGAAGTATTATTTAAAGAAGTATATTCCTGCCAGCAGTGTGTAAGTACCATTTGTAAATTTCCTTGCCAACTTTTGATATTTTCAGACTTTATTCATTTATTTATTTTTGACTACGATGATGGCTGTGAATGATATATTTGTGGATTTCATTTTAATTTTCTTGAATTGAGTGATATTCAGCACCTTATCCTACAGCTATCCAGGTTTCTTTCTTTGTGAATTGCCTGTTCACATTTCTGGCCCATTTTTCCATTAGGTTTACCTATGGTTTTAAAAAATTCGTTCATAGGAGTTCTTTACATATTCTGGATACTGATCTTGTGTCCGGATTGAGTCTTCTCTCTGTGGTTTGTCATTTTACTTTGTTAATAGTGTCTTGTCATTCAAAAGTCTTAAATTTTAATTAAAATGTTTCAACGTTCCTCTTTATGGTTCCTATGTAGTGTCTTGTTTAAGAACGCCTTTCCCAGTGTCATATAGATAATCTCCTTGGTAAATACTACCATGATGTCAGTTTGGTAGATGAGTCAACTGAGGCACTGAGAACTTAAATGACATGCTCAGGGTCACAGACCACTGGAGATGAGTGACTTGAGCTTTTGGTCCCTGGGTTGCACTGCACAGTTTCAGGACTTTTTGCCATCCTGTTCTCCGGTTTGTTTCACGAGAACTCTTGTCAACCTTTTTCTGTAGGTAGAGAGGGTGTGCAGAGCTCAGAAAGGATGCAGGTTTGGTGCAGTTTTTATTTACTCCATAATGAAGCACCCGTAATGAAGCACCTGGCTCTAGACTTTATGATTTTTAAAAAGATTTAAATTATTTCAAATAATTTCAGATTTACAGAAAAGTTTCAAAAAATAGGATAAAGAATTATCGGCCCAGTATAGTGGCTCACGCCTGTATTTTCAGCACTTTGGGAGGCCGAGGTGGGTGGATCACTTGAGACCAGGAGTTAGAGATCAGACTGGACAACAAAGTGAGACCCCCGTCTCTACAAAACAAACAAACAAAATTACCCAGGTGTTGCTTCCGCTTGGCTGTTTTCCTGCACAGGAGGGCGGTAGGCACCCATGGCGCCCAGCCGGAATGGCATGATCTTGAAGCCCCACTTTCGCAAGGACTGGCAGCGGCGCATGGCCACGTGGTTCAGCCAGCAGGCGCGGAAGATCCGCAGAGTCAGGGCCCTGCAAGCCAAGGCGCGCCGCATGGCATCCGGGCCCAGCCAGCCCATCGTGAGTCCGTACCACACGGAGGCAAGCGTAGGCCGGGGCTTCAGTCTGAAGGAGCTCAGGGTGGCCGGCATTCACAAGAAGGTGGCCCGGATCATTGGCATTTTTGTGGATCCGAGGAGGTGGAACAAGTCCACTGCTGTCCCGGCAGGCCAATGTACAGCGGCTGAAGGAGTAGCTCTCCAAACTCATTTTCTTCCTCAGGAAGCCCTCGGCCCCCCAAGAAGGGAGACAGTTCTGCTGAAGAACTGAAACTGGCCGCTCAACTGACGGGACCGGTCATGCCCACCCAGAATGTCTACAAGAAGGAGAAAGCTCGAGTCGTCACTGAGGAGGAGAAGAATGTCAAAGCCTTGGCTAGTCTCCGCATGGCCCGTGCCAATGCCCGGATTTTCGGCATATGGGCAAAAAGAGCCAAGGAAGCTGCAGAACAGAATGTTGAAAGAAAAAATAAAGCCCTCTTGGGGACTTGAGATAAAAAAGAAAAAAAAGTTACCCAGGTCTGGTGCGCACCTGTAGTCCCGGCTACTCGGGAGGCTGAGGCAGAAGAATTGCTTGAGTCCAGGAGATTGAGGCTGGGCTGAGCCATGATTGCACACTGTACTCCAGCAGGGGTGACAGAGTGAGACCCTGTCGA